TCACCCATGTTGGACAGAAGTTTCGCATTTGTGCAAATTTGCACTGCAAAGGAAAAAGCATTGAAAGGGCTGTCTAGTTTAGTGAGCGAATAGGACGAATGAATGAATGAATGAATAAATGGTTAAATGAAGTAGTTAAATGAATGAATGAATGAATGAATGAACCTTTTACCTTCATTTCACATTCCAACATTTCTACGCATATTTTTCACTTTGAAGCTACGCTACAGTTACGGAAATTTTTAGATGCAAAATTTAGATCTTCAGCTGTCGCACATTCCCTAGTGCTTAATAAATTACCCCGTAAATGGCGCGGCAAACCACCAGCAAAGTCGTTTAATGGCGATGTTGAAGGATTAGTGGACGGGTTAGATTTAAACTCAAATAAATCAAAGCTAAAATTTCTTATGATTTTATTTGTAGACTCAGGAGATTATCTTTTATCTTGACTTCAAAAAGGGATGAGTTCTACATAGAGGAAAGCTATTGTGAAATTTTTTTTGCCATCTACGAATATGTTCTGATTCTCTTTTCGCTAATTTAGTTGCTGAATTATTCTCCTAGTTATTCTTTTTAAAAAAGGTATAGAGTAAAATCCGAATTTTGGCTACAAGCCAGATTTTCTTTTTTTTAACTTGGAAAGAATTAAATTTCCAATAGGTTTTCTCATTTCCTGCAAAAGGCTTTTGAACCTAGTCAAACCTTAACAACATGCTAAAGAGCTTTATTTTACTATTCGTGTACTAGCTAGACTTTTGCGAGGACAATTTGCTCCCAAGGGACTTGATTGCACGGCCGCTTCTTTGCTATCCAATGTTTTACTTTTACAAGCTAACCTTGTTTTTTTTATTTTAAGACATTTACCCTAAATTATGATATTAGCTCAAGCGGTGAGCCTTAGGCGGGTCTTGAAAACCACCATCTGCTCTGGCGCAATCAGTTCTAGGATCAGCTTTGAGATGAGTGGGACTTGTCATGTGAAATCGAAGGAGAGAATAGTTTGAATCAAGCGGAAGGGAGCAATGTTGGGTTGCAGATTTGCAAAGTAGAGATGAACCACGGACTTTAGTCGGAAATCAAACTCAAACTACATATTTTTCAAACAGTTCAAAAAGACAGCCTCTTTTCAGCTGAACACCACCAATCTCGATTCGCTGACAAGGCCGGAACTCGTCCGAACTCTAACAATCCGCTGTTCCCATTTTTCTAAGAAGAAAAGCGTACCCTTAGCTGGCTTGTTTCGGGTAAAATCAGTTTCTTTTTCAACTTTAACTGACTTCAAATCTTCATGCTATTCTAGGGACTACGAAATTTGGATCGACTGGAAATCGATCGTTGCATTTTGGCCAGTCTTCCAGGCGCCTTATTTTCGGTCGGTTTCTCTTCATTTCTGCCAAAATCAGATGGAAAGAGTCGCCAAAATTGTGCATTTTTCATTTCGTAAGGGCAAGTCAGATGCGAGTTAGAGATGGGATATCGCGCATTTTGCATGAAACGACTTGATTGCATCTGACGGACATAGCGAACAATCACAACAACAACAACACACTACATATGTCAACTACGAAACACAAAACAGAGGCTTCAAGAGCTTAAAGGACCCCATTGAGGGGCAGGATTGGCTTAAAGTACAGTAATTCAGGGTTTACACCAACTCTACTCGCTAATTATCAAAAATGCGAAACTGCCTGCGATACCCAATGAGTTGTTTGCCCATACACCGAATTTGATGACATTGGATATGACGGGAAATGAGCTAAGGATTGAACCTTACTCCTTAAAATCATTAGGGTAAGTTTGCATTTGTGTTCCACTTCTTCACCATTTTAATAAGTCTAAATACTCCTCAAAAAAAAAACTCGAGTGATATAAGATATCTAGAGTTGCATTTATTGATGTTTTTGAATGTCCAATGCTT